TTTTTTAAAAAAAACCCTTTTATTAAATACAAAAATTTTTTTTTTTTTGTAAAAAAAAAAATCAAAACAAAACGAAAATAACCCAAAAAGATTGTTTAAAAAAAGGGAAGTTTAAAGTTTATCCCCCAGTAAATTAATTTAAAACCTTTTTTTTTTTTTTTTACTACTAACAATTAAATTTTAAAAATTTTTATTTTTGTTTTTAAGGGGTTTATTTTTCTTTGGGTCCCGGGGAATGGTTTTTTGTTTCTCCTTTCCACTACAAAAAAAAATTAAAATAATTTTTAAAAGGTTTTTTGCAAACAATTTTTTTTTTCTCCAGATGGATCCAAACCCTTCAATTGCCAAATTTTTAACCATTGGGGTAAACCCCAAAGGGTTTTTGAGTTCCCCCCCCTTTTTTTGTTTTCTATTTTTTTGGTCTTCAATTTTTAATACCAAAAAGTTAAAGTAAAGGGATGATTCGAATTTTTTTTTTTTTTGGGTTTTTAAAAACTATTTTTTTGGGATTTTCGCGGTTTTTGGGGAATCCTAAAAAGAAATTTTTTTCAAAACTTCTTGGTTTAAAAGGTTTTTTTATTTTTTTCCCAGTTGAATTTTCCATCGAAAACCCCTTGTATGTCGGTTTTTTTTTCGGGGGAAAAACAATAAAAAAATGTCAAGTTTCGGTTTTATAAAGTCAACCTGCCAAAAATTTTTTATTAAATTTTTATTTTTTCTTTTATTTCCATTTATTTTCCCTTTATTTTTATTTTTTTTTTATTTTTTTTTTTTTTATTTTTTTCCCCTTTTTTTCCCCTTTTTTTTTTTTTTTTTTTTTTTTTCTATGTTTTTTTTCCCCTCCTTCTTTTCTTCGTCTTTCCCCCCTCCTTTTTTTTTCCTTCTTTTTTTTTTTTTCCCTTTTTTTTTTCCCCCCCTTTTCCTTTTTTCCTTTCCTCCTTTTTCCCCCTCTTTTTTTTCTCTATTTTTTCTTTTTTTGCCCCCCCTTTTTTTTTTTCACCTCCATTTTTTTTTTTTTTTCTTTTTCCCTTTTTTTTTCCCTTTTTTTTTCTTTTTCTTTGTACATTTTTTTTTTTTTTCTCCGGGCTTTTTTTTTTTTTTTCCCCCCCAAAAAAAAAAAAAATTTCTTTGCTTTTTTTTTTCCCCTTTTTTTTCTTTTCCCCCAAAATTTTTTTTTATTTTTTTTTTTTTTTGTTTATTTCTTGGCCAAATTTTTAAAACCCTTTTCCCTCCTTTTCCCCGAAAAACAAAAACGTTGGAAAAGGAAAACCTTGGGTTTTTTTTTTTAATAAAATATAAAAATTTTAATTTAAAATTTTTTTTTAAATTATTAAAAAAATTTTTTATGAAAAAGGGGGCAAAATTATTAATTTTTTTTAATATTTTTTTTTTTACCCGTGTATACCAAAAAAAAAAAAAAAAAAAAAAAAAACCCCGTTAAAATTTTAAATTTAAAAAAAACCTTTTTAAATTTAATTTAATTAAAAATTTATTTTAATTTTGTTTAAAAAAGGGAAAAATTAACCCTTTATTTTTTTTTAAAAATGAAAAAATTTTAAGGAAAAATTTAAATTTAATATTAAATATATTATTTAAAAATTTTTTAAATTTTAAAAAAAAAAATAATATATATATTAGTTTGGGAAATTTTTAGTGAAAAAAAAAAAAAAAAAAAAATTTATTTAATTTTTCCCAAAAGGGAGTTTTTTAAATAAAACAATTTTTAAAACCCCAAAAAAAAAAAATTTTTAAAAAAATAAAATGTGAAAAAAAAACCCAGAAATTTTGGGGGGAAAAAGAACCCTTAAAAAACCTCATAAAGATGCAATGATTTTTTAAAAAACCCTAAAATAAATTTCATTTTTAAAAAAATAAAATTTCAAAAAAAGGAAAACAGAAATTTAAATACAAAAAAACCAAAATAAATTAAAAATAAAGTGAACAAAAACCCCCCTGAAAAAAATGAAGTTAAAAAAATTTGGGGGATCCAAAAAAAATCTCCTTAGAAATTTAAAACAAGGAAAAAATTACCAAATTTGCCCCTTAAACGCGAAAACCCCAAAAATTTAATAAAAATTTTTTATCAACGAAAAAATCTTGATTTAAAATAAAAAAAATTCAAATAGATTCTCCTTTTTTTTCCCGGGTTTTAAAACAAAAAAAAAAATTTATTTTTTTTTCAGTTCAAAAACAAACGAGGGGGAAAAAAAACAATTTTTTAAAAGTAAAACCAAAAAAAAGAAAAAAAAAAAAAAAAATTTTTTTTTTTTTTTCAAAAATTTTAAACCAAAAAAATTTTTAAAAAATTTAAATTAAAAAAATTAAATTTTAGGTTTTTTAAAAAATTTTTTTTCTTTTCCTTTTTTTTATATTTTTTAAAATAATTTTTTATTATTAAAAAAAAAAAATTTAAGGTTTTTATAATTTTTTTTTTCTTCCTTCCAATTAAATTTTTTAAATTATAAATTAATTTATATATAAAAAATAATATAAAATTTTATAATATTTTTTAAATATTAAATATTTTAAATTAAATTAAATTTAATAAAAAAATATATATATAAATAATTTTATTTTATAAAAATAAAAAAAACCAAAATTTTTATAAAAAAGAAATTTGTTTTTTTTTAAAAATTGCAAACCTTTTTGCTCCCCCACAATGAAAATTTCGAAAAAGTTGTTTTTTTAAAAATTTTTTCATGAAAAAATTTAATAAAAAATTATTTTATATAATTTTTTATATAATATAAAAAAAAAAAAAGAGAGAGAGAGAGAGAGAAAAAAATTTCCGTGGAAAAAGGGGTTTAAATTTTAATAAAAATATTAAAACTGACCCGAAAAATTTTTTTTTAAAAAAAATAAAAATTAATGCACCCAAAAAATTTAAACCCTCATGAGATGATCATTTCGTCCATGGAAAGAGTTTTTTTTTAATCAATGAAAAATTTACTTCTTTTTAGAAATTTTTAATAAATATGACCAGATACTGATTCATTCTGTGAATAGTTTTAATAAAAAATTTGGTTGTTTTATTTTTACGGAAATTTTTTTATAATTTTAAACCCTTTAAAGTTGACCATGCCAAAGGGGGGAAACAAATCAAAAAAAAAAAAAAAGAAAAAAAAAATTTATAGATAAGGGTTCCCTGGATGAACTCGCTTTCTGACAAGGGAAAGGGGACTTTTTTTTTGGGGAAAAACGATCCCGGGGGGAAAAACACTACATCTTGGGAAATTTAGACGACTTGGGGAAAGTGCAACCCAAAACCCCGTCGTGACCGTGGGTTTGGGGGTTTTCTTAAGGGCCCCAAACCCTTTTATGAAAATTTTAAAACCCCAAAATTTGGGGGTAAAAAAATTTTGTTTTTTTACAAAACAAATTTGGGAGGGCGTACCAAAAAATGGTAAACTGTATTATATATATATATATATATTTTTTTAAAAAAAAATATATATTTATTTTAAAAATTTTATATATAATTTTTTTATTTTAAAAAATGTTTTTTGGGGTTTTTTTAAAAAAATTATATAAGTTCAAAAATTTTGGGGTTTTTATTAAAAAAAAAATTTTTTTTTTTAAAATTTTTTAATTTAAAAATTATTAAAAAAATTTTAAAAATTTTTTTTTTATTTTAAATATTTTTTTAATTTTTTTTTTTTCCCTGGGAAATTTTTCCAAAGCAAAAAAAATTTTTAAACTGTTTTAATAAAATATTTTGAAAAGGGTTTCATAAAATTTAACGTTTTTTTTGGAAAAAGTTAAGTTTTTTCGGGGGAAAAATTTTAATTTTTAAAAATTTTTTAAAAAAAATTTTTTAAAAAAACGTTTGGAAAAAGCAACCAAATTAAAAAAAAAGCGCCATTCAACTTTTTCCAAAAGGGGGATTTTAAGGTTTTTGGGGGAAACCCCTTTCTCGGTATTGACTACCTTTGTTTTGGCGGATTAAATTACTTTTTAAAACTTTCCCCGCTCCCAAAATTTTTTTTTTTTTTTTTTTTAAAGTATTTTGGGGGTTTGGGGGGTAACCAAAGATTGGGGAAATGGGTTTTCTTCCCCTTAAACTGGAACTTCTTCCGATCACGTGTTTTTTTTTTTTGCTTGGTACGGTGAAGTTTTTTTTGTGGTAGTGATTTTCCCTGAAAGTGATTTGTTAAAAAATTAAGATGAAAAACAAAATAATCTTAGAAACAAAAAAAAATCAGCCCAAAAAAAACCTAAAAAAATTTTCACAAAAAGCAAAATTTTTTTAAAAATTTTTTAAAAAAAAAAGATTAAAAAAAAAAATATTTAAAATTAATTTTTTAAATTTTTTTCCCCCCAAAAAATTTTAAAAAGTAACCATTCTTGTAACGGGGTTTTAAAAAGGGAAAAAACCCCTTTTTTTTTTTGGATTAATGAAAAAAAATAAAAAACCGGGGGGGGGGAAAAAAGGAAAAAAATTTTTGAAAAACCTCCCTTTTTTCTTTATTAGTATTCCGTTTCAAATTTTTTTAATTTTTAATGAAATTTTTTAAAAAGTATTAAAAAAAAAGGTAATGGAAAAAATTCTAAAATAAAAATTAAAAAAAATATTCCATAGGTGCCCCTTTTTTTTTTTTTTAAAAATTTTCATTATTATTAAAAATTTATCCCCGCCTTTTTATCTTTTTTATCTATCTATTATCTATTATCTTCCTTTTCATTTTTTATCTATCTTTTATCTATCTATATTTTTATTATCATCTTCATTATCATCTATCTATTATCTATCTATCTATCCTTTTTTTTATTATCTATCTATCTATTATTATTTTTTTTTTATTTTTTATATTTTTCATTTATCATTATCATTTCCCCTTTTATTATTATTTTTCCCAAAACCCCCAATCTATTTCTTCCCTTTTTTTATTACTAAACAATCTTTTTTTTATTTTTCCCAAAAATTTTTTTTAAAATTTTTTTTTATTAAATTTTTATTTTACCTAAAAAATTTTTTTTTCTTCCCTATTTCTTTCCATTAAAAAACTTTTCAAAAATTTTAAAATTTTTTCCTTAACAAACCCTTTTCTAAACATTTCTATTTTAAATTTTTATTTTACAATTCTAAATTTTAAATTATTTAAATTTATACACTAACACTTTTTCAAAATTTATTTTAAAAATTTACCTTCCATTTTTTAAAAATCCATTTCTCATCAAATTTTTTCCTTTTTTAAAAAAAAATTCAAATTTTTCTATACAACCCCTTCAAAAAACTTCCTTTTTTAATATTTAATTTTTAAATTTTTTTCAATTTTTTTAATATCAAAAATTTTTTCTTTTATATTTATTTTTTTTTTTTTTTAAAAATTTTTTTAAAAAATTCACCCAAATTTCCCCTTTTAAAATTTTTTTACATTTTTCAAAAACCAAACCTTAAATTTTTTTTTTAAAAAACAAATTTTTTTTTTTTTTTTAACAATTTTCTTTTAAATTTTTTTTTTTTTTTAAAAAATTAACATTAAATTTTTTTTTTTTAAAAAATTTCCCAAATTTAACCCCAAAATTTTTTTTTTAAAACCAAAAACCATTTAAAAATTTTTTATAAAACTTTTTAAAAAAATTTTTTTTTTAAAAATTAATTTTCCTTAAAAATAAAAATTTTAAAATTATTAAAATTTTTTTCCCCTTTTTTTTTCAAAAAAATTTTTCCCTAAATAAAATATTTTAATTTTTTTTTTTCCCCTTTTAAAAATTTTATCCCTTTTTTTTTCAAAAATTTTTTTTTTAAAAATTTTCCTTTTCCCCTTTTTCTTTTTTTTCAAAATTTTTTTTTTTTTTTTAATAACCCAAATTATTTTAAAATTTTTTTTATTTTTTAAAAAAAATTCTTTTTTTAAAATTTTTTTCCCCTTCTTTTTAAATTTTTAAACTTAATTTTTTAAAATTTTTTAATTTTTTTAAAAAACCCCCCGTTTTCTTTTTTTTTTAAATTTTTCCCAATTTTATTTTAAAAAATTTTTTTTTTCCCCTTTTTTTCAATAATTTTAAAATAAAATTTAAAAATTTTTTTTAAAAAATTTATTTTTAAAAAAAAATTTTTTTAACATTTTATTTATTTTTTTTAAAAAACTTTTATTTTATACTTTTTCCCAAAAAATTATTTAAAACCCCAAAAAATTAAATTAAAAAATAATTTTAAAAAACTTTAAAAATTTCTTTTTTTTAAAATTATTAACTTTTTATTAATTTTTTTTATTAAATTTTTCTTTTTTTCTTCCCTTTTATTTTAAAATTTTTTTTTTTAAACCCCTTTATATTAAAAATTTTATATCCATTTTTTTTTAATTTATTTAATTTAAAAACCTTCTTTATTTAAAAATTTTTATTTTTTCTCTTTAAAAAAATTTTATTTTTAAAATTTTTTTTTTTTTTCCCCTTTTCCCTTTCTTTTTTTAAACTTTAAATTTTTTTTTTTTTTTAAAATTTTAAAAAAATTTAAATTTTAATTTATACTTTAATTTTAAAAATTTTTTTTATTTTTAAAAACCCTTTTTAAAAATTTTTTTTAAAAAAATTATTTCATCACCCCCACCTTTTTTTTTTTTTTATTTTCATTTTAAAAAAAAATTTTTAAAAAAAAAATTTTTTTTTAAAAAATTTTAAAAAAATTTTTTATTTTTTAAAAAAACATTTTTTTTTAAAAAATTTTAAAATTTAAAAATTAAATTTTTCCCTTTCCTTTAACATTTTTTAAATTCCCCTTATATTTTAAAAAAAACATTTTAAATTTAAATTTTAAAAAATTTTATTTTATTTTTTACTTTTTCCAATTTTTTTTTTTTAAAAAAGTTTTTTTTCATTTTTTTTAACATCAAATTTTAAAATTTAAAAACTTTTATAAATTTCATTTTTTCCCCTTTTTAAACCCTTTTCTTATATTCAAAATTTTTTTTTAAAAAACACACCATTTTATTTAAATTTTTTTTTTAAAATTTTTTTATTTTCTTTCCAATTTATTAACTTTTTCTTCAAAATTTTTTTAAATTTTATTTTTTTTTTTAAAAACTAAATTTTTTAATTTTTAAAAAATTTTTTTATTTTCCCCAAATTTTTATTTTTTAATTTTAATAATTTTTAGGTTTTTTTTTTTAAAATTTTTATTTTTTCTTTTTCCCCTTTTTTTTTTTTTTTATTTTTTTTTTTTTTTTTTTCATTTTTTTTTTTAAATTTTTTTTTTTTTTTTTTTTTTCCCAATTTTTTTTTTTTAAATTTTTTCCCCCTTTTTTATTTTTTTTTTTTTATTTCTTTTTTCCCCTTTTTTTTTTTTTTTTTAAATTATTTTTCAAACTTTTTTTTTTTCTTTTCTCTTTTTTTTTTTTTCCCTTTTTTTTTTTTTTTTCTTTCTTCTTCTTTCTTTTTTTTTTTTTTTTATTTTTTTTTTTTTCTTTATATATCCCATAATTTCCCTTTCTTTTTTTTTTTTTCTTTTTTTTATTTTTTTTCTTTTTTTTTTTTTTTTTTTTTATTTTTTTTTCTTTAAATTTTTTTTTACCTTTTTTTTTTTTCTTTTTCTTTTTTTTTCTTGTTTCTTTTTTTTTTTCCTTTTTTCTTTTGTTTTTTTTTTTTTTTTGAAATTTTTTTGTTTTTTTTTTAAAAAAATTTTTTTTCCCTTTTTTATTCAGCTTTCTTCCCCAATAACATTTAAGAAAAATTCTTTCTTAAAACCCCCCCCTTTTTTTTCCCCTTTTTTTTTCCCTCCGGGGCCTTTTCCCCTTTTTTTTTAAAAAATTTTTTTTTTCGTTTTTTCCCCCCCCCCCTTTTTTTTTTTTTCTTTGGGTTTTTTTTTTTCTTTTTCTTTACTTTTTTTTTCCCCTCCTGTTCTTTTCAAAGGAAAAACCCAGGGTTTTTCCCCTTAAAAGGGTTATTCCCGGAATAGGTTTTTTTCCCCTTTCCCTTCCCGGGGGCCAAAAAAGAAAAAACTTTAAATTTTGTTTTTTTTTTTAAAATTTTTAAAACCCCAAAAAATTATAAGGAAAAAGGAAAAAATTTTTAATTTTTTTCCCCCCAAATTTTTGGGGCCCGGGGGGGGAAAAAAAAAAAAAAATTTTTTTTAAAAAACTTTCAAGGGGTTTGCAAAAAATTTTTGGGAAACCCAAAACCCAACGGGAAAAAAAAAAATTAAAAAAATTTTAAATGAAAAAGGGCCCTTAATTTTCACTCTTTTATGATGGTCGATACCTGATCTATCTCTTACTGTTACATCCCCAGGCAACGCCGGGCTCTACTGCTAGTATATATATATATATATATATATATATATATATATATATATATATATATATATATAAAAGTAATTCACCCCAAGCAAGGCAGGAGAGCCACTAGCAGGCAAGGGATTACGGAGGACTGAGAACAAGAATAAAGAAGCGTGTTTGAGGAAAGGATACCGAGAAGGACGTGGAACAAGTTTAGGGTGTCAGATATCGATTGACATTACACTTGAAGATTTGAAGATTATAGTCATCGGGGAAGCAAGCAAAGGGGAGGTATTCCACATGCGGGTAGTGCGAGAGAAGAAACTGTTTGAGTAACCGTTACATTTAACCGTTTTGACAGGGAACGGGTGGGACCGTGATGCCAGCCTGGTAGCTCGCTTAAATTCATGCAGTCTGGGGACCAGTGAAAGTAGGGGTGGCAACTGGTCTACCACAGAAAGAAATGGCAACATACTGCGGGGAAATGTCTACCACCTCAGTCATGTATCGAAAGATACCTGATCGCCTAAGCGTGTATCATGCATGGCACATAACTGACTTACTTTGGGAAAGGTATGAATCCTCTCCACCAACCACAGCTAGGGGTAAATAGCAAGACAGATCGGGTTCTATAGTCTTAGATGGCAACTGGTCTGCCGCAGAAAGAAATGGCAACCTACTGCAGAAAAAATCTAACTCGTCAGTCATGTATCGAAAGATACATGATCGCCTAAGTGTGTATCACGCATGGCACATAACTAACTGATGCCTTAGGCATTTGGAACTGGCTGAATATTAATTTAGGGCTGAGGTGGATAGGACAGCGTGGAATAATTAGTGGCCATCAAGATCACAAGACATAAAACCACTAGACATTATTCTTGTGGAGTGTACAAGAAAGATCTTTAAAGACTCAAATCGAAAAGAAATCCTGAATTAAAACAAAAAAAATTTCTGATAAATTTTCTGAATTTAATGTAGAAATGTCAAATGGTTTGTAGAAGTGTTGCTGAGAGGTTTCAGCGTTGTATTGAAGTGGAGCATTTGGAGCATGTTAAATAGTTCGTTAGTCATAATAAATCTTGTTGTTTCGATGTGACAATAATCACAAATGTTCTTAAACTAATGCAATTCATTTTTGCTCAATAAAATTTTAATAAACACAAGCAGAGCGTTATTTTTGCCGCAGCCTGTGTTACAACACAAGTTCAATTCAGACCTTGTGGGACTCGTGTATACGATCCATCGCTAAAGACGTTGATAAAAAAATCGGTCCCTTATATTGTTGCAAAAAGTACCTTATAGTACCTCTTACGCTCCATATTTACAAAATGGAGTTTGCTGTTTGTTGTAACCAAGAAATGGTTACTGAACGAGGAATAACCAAAACGGAGGTTATAAATGAAATGGTAATCTTTATAACATCAACAAAATACAATACTCGCCAGCGGCGTGAAGTAGGTAAACCACTTCTAGTGGAGGACTATCTAAACAGAATCTTACCCCCACTTACAATAGTGTCCAACGTATTTATGAGGATTGGGATATACCCATTAGTGTTTATAGGTACAGTATATAAGAACATTATTTAAAGCTGAACTAATATCCTCTTCTTCAACAACTTTTGCGTCATTGAGCTACCCGGCGTTTAAAACTGTCCACCAGAGTAGTGTTCAAGTAATTTTGGACGGACCACATTGTTCAAATTATGTTTATTCCCCACATCAAGCGATAAATATTCGTGGTTAATTTTTCTTTTAGTGCGGCTTAGTTATTTGCTAGTC